ACAAAGCCAGCAGACCTGATGGGATCCCTGCTGAAGTCTTTAAAGAGAGTGGACTTGAGCTGACACAACAACTCGACCAGCTCATTGAAAAAGTGTAGGTGACAGAAAAAATCTCAGCAGACTTCAGAGATGCCACCATCATCACCCTTTTCAAAAAGGGGGAAAGAACAGATTGTGAAAACTATTGAGGTATCTCCTAACTTCTGCTGGGAAAATCCTCACAAGAATCCTTGCGAATCGCCTTCTACCTGTCTCAGAAAACACCCTCTCAGAATCCCAGAATGACTTCCGCCCCTCCAGAGAAACCGTGGACATGATCTTCACTGCACGACAGCTCCAAAAAAGGCAAGGAACAATCAACCTCTGTACATGGCATTCATTGACCTTGCAAAGGCGTTCAACATGTTGAATTACAGTGCTCTTTGGACCATCCTCCAAAAAATCAGGTGCCCTGACAAATTTGTGTCCATCCTGCAGCTCCTCCATGATGACATGGTGACAACAGTCTTGGACAGCAATGGCTCCCAAAGTTACCCATTTAAGGTGAAATCAGGTGTCAAACAGGGATGCATTATTGCCCCAACCTTATTTTCCATCTTCATCGCTATGATACTTCATCTTGTTGGTGGGAAACTTCCCACCAGAGCGGAAATCATCTATTGGATAGATGGCAAGCTATTTGACCTCAGCAGATTGAAAGCTACAACCAAAGTCATAACAACATCTGTTAAAGAACTCCAATATGCCAATGATAACGTAGTCTTTTCCCATTCAGAAGACCTACAAAACACTCTAAACACCTTTGCAGTAGCAGACCAGAAGTTCAGCCTCTCACTGAACATGGAGAAAACCAAAGTGCTCGTCCAGCAGTCACCAGCCAATCCCTCTGCAATGCCAGAAATACAGCTCAATGATGTAACATTAGAAAATGTGGACCATTTCTGCTCCCTTGGCAGCCATCTCTCCACAAAAGTCAACATTGACACTGAAATACAACACCGCCTGCGCTCTGTGAGTGCAGCATTTTGCCAAATGAAACAGAGAGTGTTTGAGGATCGGGACATCTGTAGGGAGACCAAGGTGATTGTCTATAAAGCTATTGTCCTTAATATTATTATTAATATTATATGCATCAAGGGGGCATTTGCCCAAGACTTTTGGAAAGTGTCAAGTTAGAGAGCGCCGTTTTCTTCAAATTTTATTACTGCTTAGAATAGCACAATATTAGTATTATATATGGAGCTCCCGGTGGTGCAATGGGTTAAACCCTTGTGCCAACAGGACTGGTCAGAAGTTTGAATCCAAGGAGAGCATGGATAAACTCTCTCTGTCAGCTCCAGCTCCCCATGTAGGGACATGAGAGAAGCCTCTCACAAGGATGGTAAAACATCAAAAACATCCTGGCGTCCCCTGTGCAATGTCCTTGCTGACGGCCAATTCTCTCACTTCGGAAGCAACTTGCAGGTTCTCAAGTCGCTCCTGACACAAAAAAATATGATATATTATTATATGGTGCTATACTACTATACTGCAATATTATTAGTAATATTACATGCAATATATAATATGCAATTATTATATTGTACTATATCATAAGTTGTAGTATATATAATATATTATATATTATATTGTGACATTATAATATATATAATATAATAGTATTTTTACATTACAATGTTATTATTTCTATATATTATTATATATAGATGTTGTCTATATTGTTGTCTCATTGTGCAGAAATTCGAGAAGATGCCTCTTGTTGTTTTTCTTTGAGAAAATATTGTTTAAAAAAACTTTTAAACATTCCTAAAAATCAGTGGATGACCCAAATGTTCTGAAACTTGGTAGGCTTAAAGTCATAAATGTTGCCTCAAAGTGTGGAAGGGGGCTGATGAGATGATTAACAATGGCATCTACATGCTGATCTTTTTTTCCCCTTGTCCGCCATTCACACGGTTTTCTGCAAAGTTGGTCTCCTCCTTTGATTTGTAAAAACTTTTAAAATTTCGTTAAAACATTCTGAAACTCAGCAGGCTTAAAGTCGTAAATGTTGCCTCCAAATGTGCCAATTTCCATCTTGATAGTCATAACAATGACAGAGAAACAAGCCTTGAAATATTCCCCATTGCCTCTAATGGAATGAATCTTAACGAAACCATTACAAAGTTTTGGAGATCTGGATTATGAAATGAAATGGGACCCCTCTGATTCTTTATGGAACAAAGAGGGGGCACCTGAATCTCCGAAACAAATTGCTCATCGGATTTCAGCCGCTTTGCTGAAATTGCTCTATCAGTTACAAATACAAATCTCTCTTTGTTGACATGTTTTGGAAACCTGTCACCGGTTAGACAGGTTGGTCCAGATATCCAAGAGGCCCTCCTCTGCCAGGCATCATGAAATGAGATGACCCTCATGTCTTCAATTACCTTTGTCCCCAAATCACAGCAGTGGCATCCAGTTCTGTCTGTGGAAAGGAAGGAAAATGGATATTAAGAAGTCCAAAAACTACTTCAGAGTTTGAAAGAGCCAAAGCGGCGTAATGGTTTGAAGTTTGAACTCTGTAGTCCAGGTTTCGAAATCCCATTTGGCTGTGATGACCAAGTCACACACTTTAAGACCCAGGAAACATTATTGTGGCATTATCATGACTTGACAGGAGACAAAGGAGAAGCAACAGGTGTCATAAAATCCATGCTGGTTTGTCTCGTTCATTGAAGACGCCTCCGTCGTGATTCACTGAGCGGACTCGCTTCCGATGGCCTTGTAAAAGAGATCAAACGTCCAGGGTGTGGCAGCACATTCACCTGAAGTGCTGGACTTTGTCTCAGAGGTACCTGTTCAGGTGAGACTGGCTTTCTTCTGTCAGACGCTGGACAGACAGGACTGCCTCCTGTCCAGAGAAAAAGTGCTCGAGACGATTCATGAGACCCAGAACAGAGTGAGCAGACACAGATTCTAGAACAGGTAGGTTGGACTTTCTTTGATCCTTTTGTACACTTCTTTGGGGGGAAACTGGGCAAATGGGTTTCAAATCCAAAGGTTAAAAGTGAAGACTGAGGATGGAAGAGTTAGGCAGCATCTTGGAGAGGGGAAAAGTCATTTGTCCTCCATTAACTTGTCAGCAGGGAGAGGAAGGGGCGGATTCGGGCAAAAACTGCATCGGCCTCTGCTGGCTGGGGGGATTCTGGGAATGACAGTCCACCTTTTCTTACACTTTGGAAATTCAAGCTTGCAGGATTTGTCAGGAAAGGGACCAAGGTCAAATCTTGGGTGTATATATGTGCCTTCAAGTCCCTTGTTGATTTGGGGTGGCCTAATGAAATTCATGCGTTTTTCTCGGGCAAGGACGACTCAATCATCCCTACAATTCCCCTCAGTCAGTATGAGCAGAGAGCAGGAAGGATACTGTCCTAAATCCAATTGCTAGAACCTTTTGAATCAGTGCAACTCAAGTAACCATTGCCTGTCCAAGTTGCTGTCTCAGTAAAAATGGCACGCGAGATTGGCAAGTCCCTTTTGAAAAAGCAATTAATTACAACTAGGGAAGGATGACCAAGATGATCCAAAGTCCATAAGCTAAGCTTTAGGAGGAAAGGTTGAGGGAGCTGCGGAGGTTTAGCTTGGAGGAGAGAAAATGGAGAAGGAGATGTGATGGCCATCGTTACGTATCTGAAGAAGTGCCATGGAAGAGAGATGGAGGCACCTTGCTTTCTGCAACCCAGAGACCAGGACATGAAGCAACGGAGTAAAGTGATAAGAAAAGAGATTCCACCAAAACATCAAGAAGATTGTGGTGCAGCTGGCTGAGTGTCAGCTGCATTCAGATCACTCTGGCCAAAAAGGTCATGAGTTCGAAGCCAGCCCGGGTTGGAGTGGGTTTCCAACCAATTGTGTGTAGCCTGTTGTCGACCTTTGCTTCCCGAAAGACAGTTGCATCTGTCAAGTAGCAAAATAAGGTACCACCTTAAAGTGTGGAGAGGCTAAATTAACTAATTTATGAGGCCATAAAGAAGACTCCAGCAGAGCATTCCAGCGGGGAAGCATGTGGGGAATGCGGAAGTACTTCATCAGCATCGCAGATGGACGATGAAAGCGACAGCTCCCCTGGTGGCCAGAAAAAGTTAAATAGCCTCTGTGTATGTCTGTATATGTTTGTATGTCAAAAATTGGCATTGAATGTTTGCCATATATGTGTACACTGTAATCCGCCCTGAGTCCCCTGCGGGGTGAGAAGGGCGGAATATAAAAGCTGTAAATAAATAAATAAAATAAGCTGATAACCAGTAATGTCACTGGTGGGGAATACTAGGGATGTAGTCTAGCAACATCTGGAAGGCCCCAGGATTTATCCCCCTGGTTTAGGCTGTTGACAAAATCAAGATGTTTTGGGGAGGTGGAAGAGACCACATGGGCCATCTAGTCCAACCTCCTGCTATGCATAATCAAAGAATCCCTGACAGATGGCCACCTACTTGTGCCTCAAAGCCTCCAAAGAAGGAGCTTCCACCAGATTCCGAGGCAGACAGTTTTACTGTTGAACAGCTCTCCTTATAGTCAGGTTCTCCTTCCTATTTATAAGGAGAGCTACAGTATAAGGAGAGCAACATTGAGTCCTTTGAAAACAAGCCTGCTCCCTCTTCCTTGGGACATCTTTCCCATATTTAAACATAGCCATCTTGTCTCCTCTCAACCTTCTCTTCTGCAGGCTAAACAGACCCAGCTCTTTAAGCCGATCCTCATAGAGATGATTCATGATCTCCAGATCTTTGATCCTTTTTGTTGCCCTCTTCCAGCTTAGAGTCAATATCTCTCTTAAATTGTGGTGCCCAGAATTGGACACAGTGTTGTTCCAGGTAAAGAGGTTGACCACAGTAGGTGGAGCTAAGCCCAAGACCCAGTTTTAGTTCAACCTCTCTGCTTTTGAGTCCCTGGAATTCCTCGCCTGTTGAGCGGGGGCAGGTGGAGAGGGACGGAGGGAGGGCAAAGGCCTTATCAGACTGACGCAGCAGCAGCCCACGGCACCAGCCGCAGGGGCCTCCCTCGCAAGGCCTGGGTGCCCCTCCCTTCCCTGTTCATGTTTGGGAACAGCAAATGGAGCTCGCAAACATCTCCTGGAGGAGACCCTGACAGGTCTTTGTGCTGGGAAGAAGGGAGGTCTAGTGTCTGGCTTCCAATGGGTCATCGGTGGAGGATGGACATTCACTAAGTGGCCACCAAGTTCGGTCTGAAAGGGATATTGCTTTGACAGCATCTGGAACATGGCTCTTTCCAAATCCACACAGGTTGGTGAGTTGGTGAGGCAGAAATGCGTCCCATTGGGGATGAATGCGGAGTCATTCTCTCTCTGAATCCAGTCGAGTGGCACACATTTATGTCCAGAGTTTGGGGGCGTTGCTATTACTCTCCTCACTGTTGGCTGTGATGGCTTTTCGAGTGGTTAGAGATTGTGAGTCCATTAGAGCTATGTTTGTTTGTGCAGGGACAGCCGTACAATACGGGAAAAGGGCTTTCCTGTAAAGAAAGTGGACTGGCTGTACAACACACCCTGGGATGGAGTAGGTTATGGGAAGTTATCATTTGGGCAAGTTGATACAGAAGCTTAAAATGCAAATGGGATTTTGGGCTGCATCAAAAGGAGTCTAGTGTCTAGATCAGAGTTTCTCAACCTGGGGGTTGGGACCCCTGGGAGACCACGAGGGGGTGTCAGGGAAGTTTGGCCCAATTGTATTGTTAGTGGGGTTCGGAATTGATTGTAGGTGAACTATAAATCCCAGCAACTAAAACTCCCAAATGTCAAGGTCTATATTCCCCAAACTTCACCAATTGTGCGTATTGAGTACTCGTGCCAACTTTGATCCAGATCCATCATTGTTTGAGTCCACAATACTCTCTGGATGTAGGTGAACTACAACTCCAAAACTCAAGGTCAATGCCCACCTAACCCTTCCAATATTTTCTGTTGGTCATGGGAGTTCTGTGTGCCAAGTCTGCTTCAATTCCATCATTGGTGAAGTTCAGAATGCTCTTTGATTGTAGGTGAACTATAAATCCCAGCACCTACAACTCCCAAATGACAAAATCAACCCCCCCCCCTCCTCGCCAATCCCACCAGTATTCAAATTTGGGTATATCAGGTATTTGTGCCAAATTTGCTCCAGTGAATGAAAATACATCCTGCATACCAGATATTTACATTACAATTCATAACAGTAGCAAAATTACAGTTATGAAGTAGCAACAAATGTAATGTTATGGTTGGGGGTCACCACAACATAAAGAACTGTATTGCGGGGTTGCAGCATTAGGAAGGTTGAGAACCACTGGTCTAGATCGAGGGAAGTCATGATGCCTTTGTATTCTGCTTTGGCGAGACCTCTTTACCTGCAATACTGTGTCCAATTCTGAGCCAAGCAATTTAATAGAGACAATGAAAAGCTGGAAGGTGTCCAGAGGAGGTCAACTAAAATGATCAAAGGTCTGGAGACCAGGTCCTATGAGGAGCATCTTAAAGAACTGTGCATGTTTAGCCTGCAGAAGAGAAGGTTGAAAGGAGACATGAGGCGCCATGTATAAATATATGAAAGGATGCCATAAGGAAGAGGGAGTGGGCTTGTTTTCTGCTGCCCTTGAAACTTGGGACTCAGAGCAATGGGTTCAAACGATAGGAAAGGAGATTCCACCTGAACATTAGGAAGAACGCTGAGCCTGGAACCCCAGGTTTCAGCGGTGACCAGGGGTGCATTTGCACAGATAAAACCTGTGCGCCAGCTGCACCCGTACCTTGGGAAGTCTGACTTGGCCACGGTAGTCCACGCTCTGGTTACATCCCGTATAGACTACTGCAACACTCTCTATGTGGGGTTGCTTTTGAAGACTGCTCGGAAGCTTCAAATGGTCCAGCATTCAGCAGCCAAGTTGCTAACAGGAGCGGCACTCAGGGAGCATACTACTCCTCTGTTGCGCCAGCTCCACTGGCTGCCAGTTTGCTACCGGGCACAATTCAAAGTGCTGGCGTTAGCCTATAAAGCCCTAAACGGTTCTGGCCCTACTTACCTCTCCGAACGCATCTCCTCCTATGAACCGACTAGGACACTAAGATCATCTGGGGAGGCCCTGCTCTCTGTCCCGCCTGCATCACAGGCGTGCTTGGCGGGGACGAGAGACAGGGCCTTCTCAGTGGTGGCCCCTCGGCTGTGGAATGCCCTGCCTGCAGATATCAGATCGGCCCCCTCCCTGCTGGCGTTCGAACAAGCATTTGATTAAACAGTGTAATTGAACATAGGAATACGGAATAATGGATGATGAGACTGGATTCTGATTTTACTGTTGAGGCGCTAATGATTGTTATACTGATGTTTAATTATTTATGTTACAATTGTTTTTAATTGCCCTATACTTGTCTCGTGATGTTTTGTATCGATGTTGTTCACCGCTTTGAGTCGCCTGAGGGCTGAGAAAAGCGGTATATAAATAAAGTAAATAAATAAATAAAATGAACAAGGGTCTGGAGAACAAGCCCTATGAGTTGAAGCTCCTTTCTTGGAAACTTTTAAACAGAGGCTGGATGGTCATCTGTCAGGGGTGCTTTGATTGTGCTTTTCCTGCATGGCAGAAAGGGGTTGGACTAGATGGCCCATGTGGTCTTTTCCAACTATGATTCTGTGACTTCTCGGATGAACTTTTCTGAGGTTGTCTAGTTTCCCACAGACCTCACAACCTCTGAGGATGCCTGCCATATATGTGGGCGAAACATCAAGAGATAATGCTTCTGGAACATGGCCATATAGCCCGGAAAACTCACAGCAACCCAGTGATTCCAGCCATGAAAGCCTTCGACAACACATTTTCTGAGGCCTATTGACAGCTATCCACCTGTATAGACCTCAAAGGCATTACCTCTTTCACTCCTTGCTATCCTTATGGCAACACTGAGGTTTCAAAGAGCCCCACTGACACTCAGGAGAAGCAGCCGTTGCTTCCTTGATGGAGTTCATCTCTCCTTCCTCTTTTCCTCCAGCCTTCAACATTTCCCATTTTTCTTTGCTGTCCTGCTTTCACATCTGTACCTAGAAAACAGGAATCCTATGGATCGTCCTGACTTTGGAATTTCATGACGTAGTATCATATAGACCTCTGTATCTGCAGGACCTGTGCTCGTGGTTAAAGTCCTTCATTTCAGTCAGGTTTGCTATTGGGTTGCTGTGAGTTTTCTGGGTGGTCTGGCTATGTTCCAGAAGCATTCTCTCCTGATGTTTCGTCCACATCTATGCCAGGCATCCTTAAAGGTTGTGAGGTCTGTTGGAAACTAGGTAAGTGAGATTTATTTATCCAGGGTGGGAGAAAGAACTTGTCTGTCTGAATGCTGCAATTGGCTACTTTGATTAGTATTAAATGGTCTTGCAGCTTCAAAGCCTGGCTGCTTCCAGCCTTGGGGTAATCCTTTGTTGGGAGGTATTAGCTGGCCCTGATTGTTTCATTTTAGGAATTCCCATTTTCTGAGTGTTGTTCTTTATTTACTGTCCTGATTTTAGAGTTTTTTTTTAAATACCGGTAGCCAGATTTTGTTGATTTTCATGGTTTTCTCCTTTCTGTTGAAATCGTCCTCATACTTGTGGATTTCAATGGCTTCTCTGTATAGTCTAACATAGTGGTTGTTAGAGTGGTCCAGCATTTCTGTGTTCTCCAATAATATGCTGTGTCCAAGTTGGTTCATCTGGTGCTCTGCTATGGCTGACTTCTCTGGTTGAATTGAAATTCACAAGCATGTCCAATAAACCAGCGTTCTTTCTCTCACCCTGGACATTATTCCTCAGATATATACACCTCACTTGCCTAGTTTCCAACAGACCTCACATTTATTGATTTATTGACAGTATTTATATTCTGGCCTTCTCACCCCGAAGGGACCTCAGGGCAGATCACAGAACACATATGCGGTAAATATTTAATGCCGTTATACACTGACAAGACAGACAACTGTACAGAGATAGAGGTATATATAGACTTTCCCATCTTCAGCATCTTGGAGGCTGTGCTCAGTTCCAGGCACGGGGGGTGCTCCACTTTCCCTGGCGAAGAGCTTTGTTCATAAACTTCCTCCTTGATCAAATTGCCGGCATTTTCTTATGGGTGCATTAGATACCTCCCCGCTTTGAGAGGGCACCTATTTATCTACTTACATTGCTGTTGTGGAAACTGCTAGGTTGGCAGCAGCTGGGCTAAAGGCCAGGAGATCACCCTGACCTGGGCTTCGAACTGTCAACCTTTTGGTTGGCAAGATTTACTGAAGCTGGCGGTTAACCTGCTGTGCTAAAGCCTGGCCCTCACAACCTCTGAGGATGCCTGCCATAGATGTGGGTGAAACATCAGGAGAGAATGCTTCTGGAACACTATTTATTTATTTATTTATGACATTTCTACCTTTCTCATCCCAGAGGGGACTCAAGGCGGCTTTACATACAGGCAATGATTTGATGCCTTAAAACACAATGTACACATAAAAAAATATTAAAATAGAATTTAAAAGTACATTAAAAACAATTGAAACATTTAAAAACCATACATTCAGAGTTAGACACGTAATCCACGAGCGTAATCTGAGCCATTCCAATGGTCATTTCACAAGTTCCAAGTCTATCTATTGCACAAGTTCTCTAAAGGCTTGGTCACAAAACCACATTTTCACTCTCTTGCAGAAGGTCAGGAGGGAGGGGGCTGATGTAATATCCCTGAGGAGGGAGTTCCACAGCCAAGGGGCCACCACTGAGAAGGCCCTGTCTCTTGCTCCGCCAATCGCGCCTGCGAGGGAGGCGGGATCGAGAGCAGGTCTTCCCCAGATGATCTTAATCTCCGCAGTGGTTCATAGAGGGAGATACGTTTGGACAAGTAAGCTGGGCTAGAACCGTTTAGGGCAGGGGTCCTCAAACTTTTTAAACAGAGGGCCAGGTCACAGTCCCTCAAAGTGTTGGAGTGCCGGATTATAATTTGAAAAAAACATGAATGAATTCCTATGTACACTGCACATGTCTTATTTGTAGTACAAAAAATACTTAAAAAACAATACAATAATTTAAATGAAGAACAATTTTAACAAATATAAACTTATTAGTATTTCAGTGGGAAGTGTGGGCCTGCTTTTGGCTGATGAGATAGGACTGTTATTCTTGTTGTGTGCTTTCAAGTCATTTCAGACTTAGGTTGACCCTGAGTGAGGGCCAGGTAAATGACCTTGGAGGGCCGTATCCGGCCTTCGGGCCATAGTTTGAGGCCTATAGGGCTTTATAAGCTAAAGCCAGCACATTGAATTATGCTCGGTAGCAAACTGGCCGCCAGTGGAGCTGACGTAACAGTGGGGTTGTGTGCTCCCTGTATGCCACTCCGGTGAGCAATTTGGCTACCACCAGTTAGACCATTTGTAGATTCCGAACATAGAATCATAGAAACATAGAGTTGGAAGAGACCTCATGGGCCATCCAGTCCAACCCCCTGCCAAGAAGCAGGAATATTGCATTCAAATCACCCCTGACAGATGGCCATCCAGCCTCTGTTTAACAGCCTCCAAAGAAGGAGCCTCCACCACACTCCGGGGCAGAGAGTTCCACTGCTGAACGGCTCTCACAGTCAGGAAGTTCTTCCTAATGTTCAGATGGAATCTCCTCTCTTGTAGTTTGAAGCCACTGTTCCGCGTCCTAGTCTCCAAGGAAGCAGAAAACAAGCTTGCTCCCTCCTCCCTGTGGCTTCCTCTCACATATTTATACATGGCTATCATATCTCCTCTCAGCCTTCTCTTCTTCAGGCTAAACATGCCCAGCTCCTTAAGCCGCTCCTCATAGGGCTTGTTCTCCAGACCCTTGCTCATTTTAGTCACCCTCCTCTGGACACATTCCAGCTTGTCAATATCTCTCTTGAATTGTGGTGCCCAGAATTGGAACAGTCTTCAAAGGTAGCTCCACATAGAGCGCGTTGCAGTAGTTTGTTCGGGATGTAACCAGGGTGTGGACTACCGCGGCCAAGTCTGACTTCCCAAGGTATGGATGTAACTGACACACATGTTTTAATGGCCACAAGAACATGGCCAGACAGCCCGGAAAACTCAAGCTTAGCTTAAACCCCACATGCCTAGTTTCCCACAGACCTCACATCCTCTGGGGATGCCTGCCATAGATGTGGGTGAAACATCAGGAGAGAATACTTCTGGAACATGGCCAGACAACCTGGAAAACTCACAGCAGTCTAGTGATTCTGAACATGAAAGCCTTCAACCACAGTTCGTTTCTTCTTAAATGACGAGTCTTTTAACTAAAATCTCCATATTGATGTATGTTTGTGCCGAGGAATCAAAAAGACAGCAACGGTGTTGAGGTTTTTGAATAGCAGATTTTGCCAAAAGCAGAGAGTTGTATTTGGGAGTGTCCGAAATGGCATCCCCTCCAAGCTCCAACCATTTGTATTTTGCAAAAACTGGGGAATGCATGCCCAAAGCAACCTTTTGAAGATGAGGTGATGCCTGATTACAGAACAGAGCGAGACTATTCCTTCCCTTGAAACTAGTAATTTACGCTTCTATTACTCGCATTGCGTTCTCTTGCTGCAGCACCACAGAGCTGCCCCGTGCTCCGTTTGTGCACCACAATCACCCCAAGGAACATGTGGATCTAAAATTGTAGATTTAAACCAAAGCTAAGGGGCAGATACAATGCCTGATGGACCTAGGAGCAAAGCGCCTCCGTGGCAGGGTATTTCCCTAAGTTGCTGTTGTGCTTTGCTCTCTCTCTCTGGGCGGTGCAAACGGCAAGCGAAACCTCCTTGCTGGCATTCCACAGACCCACCGCCTCCTCCTTCAGGTGGACTTTGGGCTCCAGCCAAAGGGCAGAGTTGGAGGAGAGGAGCAGAGCAAACAGCCGGAGGAATGAATAGACCTTCAAGAATCTGTCAAAGTGCACATACCAACGGAGAGTCCCGTTTGGAGGAGTGAAGGGATGGGCAAGAATTCCATCTTCACCTTGCAAGTGGAGGAGGAGGAAGAGAAAGGAATGAGAACAGTCTTTCTTTCTGAAGGGGGTACTGGCATGGCTCTACAAGGAGAAGTTAGGATTTGTATTTCTTTCATAGAGTCGTAGAGTAAGAAGGGACCCACAGGGCCATCTAGTCCAACCCTCTTTATTATTCCATGCAGGAAAATCACCATCAAGGTCATGTGGGCAGCATGACTGCATGGAGCACTGTTATCTTCCAGCAGAAGTGGTACCTATTGATCTACTCACATTTGCATGTTTTCGAATGCTAGATTGGTAGAAGCTGGGCCTCACCTCGCTCCCCAGATTCGAACTGGCAACCTTTCAATCAGCAAGTTCAGCAGTTCAGTGCTTTAACCTGCTGCACCACCACCTACGGATGTGAGAGCTGGACCTTAGGGAAGGCTGAGCGAAGGAAGATCGATGCTTTTGAGCTGTGGTGTTGGAGGAAAGTTCTGAGAGTGCCTTGGACTGCGAGAAGATCCAACCAGTCCATCCTCCAGGAAATAAAGCCCGACTGCTCACTGGAGGGAAGGATACTAGAGACAAAGTTGAAGTACTTTGGCCACATCATGAGGAGACAGCAAAGCCTAGAGAAGACAATGATGCTGGGGAAAGTGGAAGGTAAAAGGAAGAGGGGCCGACCAAGGGCAAGATGGATGGATGGCATCCTTGAAGTGACTGGACTGACCTTGAAGGAGCTGGGGGTGGTGATGGCCGACATGGAGCTCTGGCGTGGGCTGGTCCATGAGGTCACAAAGAGTCAGAGACGACTGAACGAATGAACAACAACAAACCACCAAATTCAGCTTGATTTGGGGGAGTTGCAGTTCACCTACATCCAGAGAGCTCTGTGAATCTAAACACCTATGGATCTGGTGTTTCTCAACCTTCCTAATGCCGTGACCCCTTAGTACAGTTCCTCATGTTGTGGTGACCCCCAAACATAACATTATGTTCGTTGCTACTTCATAACTGTAACTACTGTTATGAATCGTCATGTAAATCTCTGATATGCAGGATGTATTTTCATTCACTGGACCAAATTTGGCACATATACCCCATATGCGCAAATTTGAATACCGGTGGGGTTGGGGGGCAGAATTAATTTTTGTCATTTGGGAGTTATAGTTGCTGGGACTATCCTACAATCCTACCCTTGATCACCCTACAATCCTACCCTTGATCACCCTACAATCAAAGAGTATTCTAAACTCCACCAATGATGGAATTGAACCAAACTTGGCACACAGAACTCCCATGACCAAGAAAAAATAATGGAAGGGTTTGGTGGGCATTTACTTTAAGTTTTAGAGTTGTAGTTCACCTACATCCAGAGAGCACGATGGACTCAATGATGGATCTGGGCCAAACTTGGCACAAATACTCAATTTGCCCAAATGTGAACACTGGTGGAGTTTGGGGGGAAATAGACCTTAACATTTGGGAGTTGTAGTTGCTGGGATTTATAGTTCACCTACAATCAAAGAGCATTTTGAACCCCACCAATGAGAGAATTGAGCCAAACTTCCCACACAGAACCCCCATGACCAACAGAAAATACTGTGTTTTCTGATGGTCTTTGGCGACCCCTCTGACATCCCCTTGCGATCCCCCCCCCGGGGTCCCGATCCCCAGGTTGAGAAACGCTGCAGAATCTGGATCAAACTTGATACACGTAACTGATATGCTGATGTTTGATTACTTGCAGGGGGATGGGGATGAGGGACTGACCTTCCTTTCTGCGAGTACTAGTTCACCCACAACCAGAGAACCTGTGACCTCCACCGCTAATGGACCTGGGCCAAATTTGGCACACAGAACCCCCATGACTAGCTCAACCTACCGGAGGGGTTTGAGGGGACTGTTTCTCATATTGGGAGTTGTAGTCCATCCTGCAGCAAGAGAGTACACTGTACCCCACCCACGATGCATCTAGAGCCAACTTGCCCAACATAACAAACGTTAAGTACTGATGGAGTTTTTCGGGGTGAACCTAGCATGATGTGAGTTGTAGTTAACCCACAACCTTCTGCATTTTGTACAATTAAAAAATTAACTTTTTGAAATAACCCGGGCAACACCGGGTTCCCATGCTAGTTATGAATAAACAGAATGACAACATCAATTACATTTATTTTCAGAATAAACAAAAGTACTGGGTTTCCTTTAACTGTCCCAATTTGTCATCTACTTTTCAAATTTCGTTATTTGTGTTTGTTCCAGCAATCCTTCCAAGTCTTTGCTTTTTTCTGCTTGCAGGACAGACACACACTGAAATTCTCATTTCTTCCAGAAGAGGGAAGTCGTGTATCATTTTTATATCATACTGAGGCGCAGATGTGAGGATGGGTGCAAATGTCATACAATAGGATCCCTAGATCTGCAGAGATGTTCCCAGACTTTGAGAACTGCGAATAATAGGAAACCCTTTCGAAATGAATATCTTCCAGTCTCAGAACATCATAGAGTTGGACAGGAGGACTTAGAACATGTTGAGAGACTACATATATTGTGGGATGCTGATAAACTAAACTAGGGTCCTGAGGATTTTGGTTTTGAATGCTTTCAACAACACTGCTATTTAATTATTTGTTTACATTTAATAAAATTAGGTTGCAATTGAACTTCTAGAAGCCATCTTAGATCCCATTTGGGGGGAAAGAATCCAACAAACAAATAAATACAAATTATTATTTTATCTCCAGAAATTAGGAAGCGACAGTCCGGAGCTAAAGGAAGAAAGTCTGAAATACCAAGCAAAGCTTGTGAAACAAGAGGTTTACCCCAAAATCCAAGAGGAGTCGGGGGGAAAAGAAGAGGAAGGTGAAGGAGAAGGAGGAGAAAAAGGAGGAGGAGAAGGAGAGGAGAAGGAGGTTGTCCATATAATGGAACCAAACGTGCGGAACGCTGTGTTTATGAACTTTCCAAATACAGGCCTACAGAATCAAGAACAAAATGGTCATTGGACCATAAAGCAAGAAGAGATGGGCTCTGACGCCAGGGGAAACAAGCAAGTTGACTTCAAGCACCAGGATACGAAGGCTGACAGTAGATGGAAAAGGAGAGATGGCTTGGGAGAAAGATCCGGATGGATGGAGAAGTCCATCAACGGCCAGTCGGACCTCTGGACGCCACCCCAAGACAGGGACTCCCGGCTGGCCGTGGTCAAGTCCGGCTACCTATACGACGTCCGGGCCTACAAAGGGGAGAAGAAGCCGTCCCGGCTTTTTGACGGGGAAGACGAGGACGAACTCTCGTATCGGATCCCCCCTGAGGAACTCTCACCGGAGAAAGCCCAAGAGCTGGAGGCCGAACGGCAGGAGGTTATCAAGAGCCAAACGGTGTGGAAAAGCACCACCGTTGCCGAGCGTCGGAGTACCACCCAGGCCAGCCCAAACTACACCGCGGTGTTCGCTGTGTGTTTTGACAGCCATTCCCCCGACCAGGGGAGCACGCCTGTGGACCCCCAAAACGTCGACACGGAGCAGATTAGTTTCGCCGCAGCCCGACAGCAGTTCCTGGCACTGGAAAAGAGAAGTCCTAACATATTGTTGGGAGCCGAGCAACAATATGGGTCCCCACGCAGGACCCAAGTGATGCACGGGGTTGGACACCAGGCCCCAGTCGTTCTGAGAGAGGCTGAGAACCACCAGAAAGGATGGGATGGATCTCACGAACAGAAAGACCTCCCAACCCCTCAAGGGCATGGACCTCTTTCCAACAATCAAGTTAGTTTGGGGAAAACCCACCCTGGCTTAAAAGTGGTGATTATCGATGAGAGAGTGTCCCGAAAGTACACCGGAAGTCCTCCAGACCCACTGGACAGTGTTGAGGCCACGGAAGAGACCCCCATCGAGCGGGAGATCCGGTTGTCCCTGGAGAGAGAGGAAGACCTTTGGAAAGAGCGCGGGATCCCAAGGACCAGCAGCCGGGACGAGCTGGTCGAGATCAGAACAAAGCCCCTCCTGTGGTCAGCCTTCACAGAAGGAAAGGAGAAACCTCGTGTGTCCTTTCCGGTCCAGAGGGAGATTGAGCAGGAAGCCAAACGTGAGGAAGACCTCCAAAAGGAAGGGCGGCTGCCGGGAACATACAGCAGAGGCGAGTGCCAGCAGCTTGCCCAACGCCGGAAGGTTTTCGAACAGGGGTTCACCCCCTCTCCCCCATGCAAAGCAATGATTCCAGGAGTGCCACGGCAGCCCTACCGTTCAATGCATGATAAAGAAAGGGGAGTTGCTGACCAGGATGTGAAATTGAACTCTGAGGCCCGGGACAACTGGGACGAATCATTCCTCTTTGGTCAAAGCTCTGCTTCTTCTAACCCTCCGATCAGTTCTCCCAGGCCAACGTTTCCGGCTTCAGGAGACCCAGGAGAAGGACTGGTGATGCAAAAGGCTCACTTTGCCATCCCCATCCGGAAGCTCCGCTTCTCTTTCGCCGACAGCACAAAAGTGGAAGAACACAGAGCCTCCAGACAGGCAGCTCCTCCACGGCATGAGGTGTTCACTCTCAAGACGTGGCGCCCACGCACCTCTGCCCTCATTGACCAAGAGATCCGGGATGCTTTGCAGAGGGAGCTGGAGCTCCAGGAGGAGAGGAGGAACTCCGGCCTGGCCGCCAAGTCTGGCCCACGTTCCCCAAACACAGGTGAGAGGAAAAGAAGGATGCCTTGCAATGTCCCTTAGCAGAATGCTATAAGACGATTGCAATATATGTCCAAAACAAAAATCTTTGAGCATTGCCCAAAGCATTTTGGCTGGGTGTGATAAGCATGTATTGTAAGGATTACGGCTGAATGTTTCACATGAGCTCTTTGGAGGCATTATTTTTTTGTCTGTATGCCTTTGTGTGTTGACTCTGCATTGAGTCTGCAGGCAAGGCATTTGTTTTGGGTCATGAGCTTTAAAACATGCATTTTTAAAGAGCCAGAGCTTCTGCTGAGATAAATTGGTCAGTGTGATTTAGGGTGCATCTACACTGCAGTTTGATGTCACTTTAAGTGCTATGGAATCCTGGAAGCTGTAGTTGGGTGAAGCACCAGCATCTTTGAGCAGAAAAGGCTCAAGAGCTGGGGAAACAACATAGCATGGAGCATGGCAGTTAAAGTGATATCAAGCAGCACTGATCACACAGTGTAGGTGTCGTACACCAGAGCAGGAACACCGCATCAGCTTGGGAAAATCAGGAAGCAATTTATTGAAGAATATAAGTAGGCAAAGCAGTAAAATAGCAATAAAATTAGCAAAAACAGCAAAATTCCAAAACAAAGGTTAGTCCATGAGCTTCAAGGTAAAAAAAAAAAAGATCCATAGGTATACAAATCCATGAAACTAGGCACAAGAATCCATGAAACTAGGCAGCATGAAAAATCCAATATACAAATCAGGAGCTTGGCAAAAACTTGGTACATGAAACTAAGAAGACTTGAAAACAAGACTGTCATAAAATTCCAACGTCAACGCAACTGAGGCAACTAATTCCCATGAATCAATATAAGGCTTTTCCAGATCCCAAAACTGAAAGGAAAGCATTTCTCTTGACCTTACCACCAGATAAAGGTTTCTTATCTCTCTTTTCCTGTAAACAAACCGATCTTCTTTGCGCTTGAGCACTCTGTTGCTGTTTACAAAAGCCTTGCTTTCTTTCTACACTCTCATTACCTCGACTCTCATAAACTTCTGCACCTGACAACACATCTTCAGAGAGTTGCTCTGAGAGAGACTGTGAAAGCCTCTCACAGGAATGTGACCTTGTGAATCCTCCAGAGACAATGTATTGTCAAAGGCTTGGGAAATAATGATTCTAGAATATGGCCACACAGCCCGAAAAACCTACAGCAACCTTCCAGAGACAGCTCAGGCCTCTTGTCTAAGCCCGGGTAAACCCTCATCCCCATTGCCAACAGACCCAGGCCCACCATCAGGAACATCATCCCCATTCCCATCATGAACATCAGACACAATCACAGGTTGAACAGCCTAACATACAACAGTAGGTACCCCCTTGGTTAGAGATGCAACAAGGAGCTTTTTGCAAGGGCTGCACTTCCTTACTCTTCCACCAAAGTTGACCATAGAATTGCCCCAAAAGTCCTACAAAAGCACATAGAGAAGTGATCTCTATGTCCTCCAGCACGACCTGGCCATGAAATTGTACCAGAGGACCTAGAGAAGACACAAATCAAATCCACAAGTTTTTGCAAAATTGCAAAATCCGTAGATGGGTTTTATGTGTTTATCATTTATTTTGATCGGTGTCTCTCCCACCTCGATTCTTAGGGGGAGAGGGGTAAGAAATAAATGCTGTTGGCTGTATAGAAACAACACATTGGAATCCATCCTCTGCTTTTCAAAAATGTGCCACATGCATGCCTTGTGTGCGTCTCTTTCCTCTCTTCTCTCCAGCACGGACCAGTTTTGCCGGCGGTTCCCCTGGCTGCACTTCGCCCATCTTGAGCCCTTCTTCTCCCGGAAGATTGTCCGCTTTGGCTTCTCCGGACAGACTTTCCTCAAGAAAGCCCTCCTCGGAGTCCAGCTTCCAAACGTGCCTGAGCCCTTCGTTGAGGCGGAGGGAAGAAGGGAAGGTAAGGAAGCACCTGCTTCGGCTGTGTCAATCGCAAAGCCCACATTGTCATCCCTCTCTTTGTCTATGTATATAGAAAACCATGCGGGGAAAAGTAGGAGGAGAAAAGGCACAGTCTGCATGCCTTTTTTCAAGGATGTAGTTCACTGTTTTTTCCCCAAAGCAACCTACAGAGACAAGTTTCTTGTCTTTTAAAAAGTGTTTCCTGTTTGAAAGTTTCCAAGGCTCACTATTCAAGCAACAATGTTTTGTAATAAATACAGAAGTGACCTTTCTATTTCCTTTCCTTTAGCGCGTCCTTGTCTCAGTTCCTCTTTGCTGACGTTCCTTTTTCTCCTCTTCCCCAGTATGCTGGCATTGAACTCAGTGATGAAATTGACACGGAGGTAAAGTATGTGGATATATATGCATGCATAGATTCACGTTAGCTATTATGCTTCCTCCACAAAAGGAGGAGGTGACTGAAGGGGTAAGGGGCTTACTTTGGTCCCACTTAGGATGGGAACTAACAAAAAGAGAGCCCATTTACCCCCACCATCTCATAGAATAAAAGCTGGGATGTGTGATAGTGGTAAACTGAGGGCCACACTGGAGGAGGCAAGAGAAAACTGGACATTTTAAAAGCAGCTGAGTGAGAAGACAGAGAATTAATGGGGACGCATAAGGATGTGAATTAATTACAACTGACATCAGTAATTAAAGTTTGTTACTCCATCAGTACTTAAAAATTTGTTATGTTGGGCAAGTTTGCTCTAGATGCATCATCAGAGGGGTTCAGTGCAGAGGCGGCCCTTGGTAATTTTCAATGGTAAGCAAACTGTATTTTGGCGCGCCCCCAACCAATCATTGATATATATTTTCTGTTCGTCGTGGGAGTTCTGTGTGCCATATTTGGTTCAATTCCATCATTGGTGGAGTTCAGAATGCTCTTTGATTGTAGGTGAACTATACATCCCAGTAACTACACTTGCCGCACTTGCTCCCTTGCCTGGCCCGCTTTGGGTCCGGAGGCGTGCCTGAAGACCCCGGCGTGTGCACCAAAAGTCACCTCTTCTCCTGACTTTCTCCTCAGCCATTGGGACCGAGAGAGAGAGAGAGAGAGAGAGAGAGGTGGAGATGCCCACCTTTCCTGAAGGTAGGCGCAAAAACAAAGGAGGGAGCGGAGGTGGGAGATACCTCCAGCCGGAGGGGCTCTCTCTCTCTCTCTCTCTCTTGGTCCCAATGGCTGAAGAGAAAGTCAGAGAAGAGGCGACTTTTGGTGCGTACGCTGGGGTCTTCAGACATGCCTCCGGACCCAAAGCGGGCCAGGCTCTGCCCCTTGGCCCACCCGTGGATTGGGGAGAGGAGAGGAGGCAGGTGGAGCACCGGGGGATCGGGAAAGGGAGCCGGTCATGGGGAAGGGATCGAACGCGGAGAACGATTGAGCGCCGGCTCTGCTCGCGCACCCGGTGGCCGGGTGGAGCAGGAACGAGAGGGGCTAGGCGAGGCTCAAGGGCCCGGCCCTTTGGGAAGAGGATCGCCCGGCAGCGAGGCAAGAAAGCCGAGGCTCCCCCCGGACTGCTAGGGCTGTTGTGAGCTGAGGGGGCGTTCCTGAAGTGGCGGTCGAGGGGCATTTACAGAGGCGCCTCTGCGCCCCTGGCAAAAAAAAGTGTTCTGTGACCGCTTGCTTCGCGTAATGGATGAGCCGCCCCTGGTTCAGTGTGCTCTCTGGCTATAAACTAAAACGCTCACTATGCCCAGAAAGGAAGGTCAGTTCCTCCCAAACCCCTCCAGTAAAGACCTCCATTATTTTTTGGTGGTCATGTGGGCTCTGTGTGCCAAGCTTGGTCTAATTCCATTTTTGGTGGATTTCAAAGTGCTCATTGATTGCAGATGAACTATAAATCCCAGTACCTACGACTCCAAAATATCCAGGCCTATTCGCCTCAAAACCCACCAGTATTCAATCTTGGGCATATTGGGTATGCATGCCAAGTTTGCTCCAGACCCATCGTTGTTCGGATTCATAGTGTGCTCTGGATGTAGGTGAACTACAACCCCTATAAATCCCTCCAAAGACCTCCAGTTTTAAGTCCATCGTTGGTGGAGTTCAGAGTACTCATTGATTGCAGCTGAACTATAAAACCTAGTACCTACAACTCCAAAATGACCAGGCCAATTCCCCTAACCCTAACCCTGAATCCCTCCAAAGTCCTTCGGTAAGTTTTGTTGGCCATGGGGCTTCTGCGTACCAAGTGACTTCAAGGTCCATTGTTGGTGGAGTTCAGAGTACAGTTCTTAGATTGCAGGCAAACTATACATCCCAGTACCTACACCTCCTATACATTATGGTGAATTCTCCATTTCTAGTATGTTCAGTTGCTAATCAATTTCTCTGTTTGCTGTGTGCCATAGAAAAGAATAGTAAAGAGTAGTAAATGGAGAGGCAATGGGCAGGGTCATGCAAATTCCACACCAATGGAGAGAGTCAGAAACATTGGGATGTCTATGGTGGAGGAAACACATGAAATCTAGAAGTACTTGTGGAGAACATTGGCAGGGCTCTTGGATATGTTCATGGCGCTCACTAAAACCTGCAACATTATTGGAGGGAGGGCCATTGGTGTTTCCTGTTTTCACTTTTATTATGGACTAGCTCAGGTGCCTGGGCTATTTGAAAATGGCATTGTTTGTTTTGGGGTGAAAGGTAATATCATTTAGTTAATTAGTAACACCATTTATTAGAAAAAAGGCAGTTTTTGATATGGTTTTTAATGAACACCCTCATTAGAAAATGCATAAGGTTGGGGGTGAACTACAGTTCCTGGAATCATAGGTTAATCCTCCCCAAACCAGGCCTGTATGCACAGTTGGCCATGTTGCATCTATGTGCCAAGTTTGGTCCAGACCCAAAGTTGGCTGGGTTAAGTGCTCTCTGGATGCACGTGAACTACAAGTCCCAGATTCCCAGGGCAATCACCCCAAAACTCCACTTGTATTCACAGTTGGGCATGTTGGGTCTGTGTGCCATGTTTGGTCCAGATCTGTCATTGGTGGTGTTCAGACTGCTCTGGGTGCACTCTGAACTGTGGCTCCCACATGGGTAGGTTGGTTCTCCTACAAAGACCTCCAGTGTGTTCTGTTGGTCATGGGGGTTTTGTGACCCAAGTTTGGTCTAGGCCTGGCATTTGTGGGGGTCACAGTGGTCTGTGGAAGTGGGTGAAGGTACTGCAATTCCCATCGTCCCTGGTCCATCCTTCCCCAATCCTCACCAAGATGTAGAGTGGGTCATTGGGGGGGGGGGGKCTGTGTGGCAAGTTTGGGCCAGGCCTGTCATTCGGGCGGGGGGGGGGGGTTGCAGTAGTCTTAGAAAGTGAGTGAGGTTACTGCAAATCCCATCACCCATGGCAAGTGTGGCCCAGATCTATTATTAGTTGGGTTCACAGTGCTCTCTGGATGTAGGTGAAATACAACTCCTATAAATCAAGGTCAATTCCCCCCAAACTTCTTGTTCAGTTGCTGATCAATTTGCTGTGTACCATAAGAAAGGGTAGGAAAGGGTTTAGCGAAAGGTAGTGGGCGGGGGCATGCAAATTCCACACCAATTGAGAGACAAAAAGGAACCCTGGGATGTCCATTCTGGAGGAAAAATAGAACATCTGGAATGAAATTGTCTCCAAATGAAAGCATTCCTTGGGTGGTAGGCAGTATGGTGTTTGGGGAGGACATAGGCAGGGGTTGGGAGATATGTTCATGGTGCCCGCTATAACCTGAAATGTCCTCGGAGGGAGTGCTTTGGGTGGAGGCTGTCTGTGTAAGTGGACACCGCTACCACATACACATTTTCACTTTCATTATGTGGATAGATAGATAGATAGATAGACAGATAGAAGATATAGAAGATAGATGGGTCCTTTGGCATGGTTGTGTGGACAAAATTGAAGTCTTTGAGATTCCTAGAGAGAACATCTTAATAGAGAGTATGTCTACACAAAATGTGGAATGCTCAAGCTATAAAGTCAGTTTGCCATGGGATGGGTTTGTGAAATGATTTATTGTTTCCTAACCGCTGCGTTCTGGATCGCAAGTGTCCCAAAAGCAAGCAAAATACAGTAGAGCCCTTTCACAGCAGAAACACACTTCAGACCATCTATCAGCAGAGTCCAATGGCAAGCATCTGACACTGTTTAGTAAACTTATGGATTCAGGTTTTCATCCAAAACATCTGGAGGCTTTAATCTTCACCATTGCGATATATACAAATGTACAAACAGGATACACAGATCCACTTTTCTTGTACTTGCTATCAATCAGTCATCAAATAGTCACATACAACATAAGCAGATACTCACAGAGTCACACAGGAGAGAGAAAGATGGATTCTTTCATCCTCCGTAGATGACCTGCTGATAGATCATCAGTAAGGGAGACTGGCCGGTTATTTTTATTTGTAGTGTCAGGGCAACCAGTCAATTATATTATATTTCTAACAGAACAAAGCAAACAAACAGACAAAATACAAAATTTGTGAGTTTGGTAGTTGATTAAATGTCCTTTGACCAGTATCTGGCCACTTGGAGTGCTTCTGGTGTTGCTGCAAGAAGGTCCTCCATTGTGCATGTGGCAGGGCTCAGGTTGCATTGCAGCAGGTGGTCATGGTTTGCTCTTCTCCACACTCGCATGTCGTGGATTCCACTTTGTAGCCCCATTTCTTAAGGTTGGCTCTGCATCTCGTGGTGCCAGAGCGCAGTCTGTTCAGCGCCTTCCAAGTCGCCCAGTCCTCTGTGTGCCCAGGGGGGAGTCTCTCATTTGGTATCAGCCATTGGTTGAGGTTCTGGGTTTGAGCCCGCCACTTTTGGACTCTCGCTTGCTGAGGTGTTCCAGCGAGTGTCTCTGTAGATCTTAGAAAACTATTTCTAGATTTAAGGCGTTGACGTGCTGGCTGATACCCAAACAGGGGATGAGCTGGAGATGTCTCTGCCTTGGTCCTTTCACTATTGGCTGCTACTTCCCGGCGGATGTCAGGTGGTGCAATACCGGCTAAGCAGTGTAATTTCTCCAGTGGTGTAGGGCGCAGACACCCCGTGATAATGCGGCATGTCTCATTAAGAGCCACATCCATTGTTTTAGTGTGGTGAGATGTGTTCCACACTGGGCATGCATACTCAGCAGCAGAGTAGCACAGCGCAAGGGCAGATGTCTTCACTGTATCTGGTTGTGATCCCCAGGTTGTGCCAGTCAGCTTTCGTATGATATTGTTTCTAGCACCCACTTTTTGCTTGATGTTCAGGCAGTGCTTCTTGTAGGTAAGAGCACGGTCCAGAGTGACTCCCAGGTATTTGGGTGTGCTGCAATGCTCCAGTGGGATTCCTTCCCAGGTGATCTTCAGAGCTCGGGATGCTTGTCTGTTCTTGGGATGAAAGGCACATGTCTGTGTTTTAGATGGGTTGGGGATCAGCTGGTTTTCCCTGTAATAGGCAGTAAGAGCACCTAGAGCCGTGATGGTGAACCTATGACACGCGTGTCAGCACTGACACGCATGGCTATTTTTGATGACAAACGGCCACATGCGGCCGCATACAGAGAAGCACACCTTATAAGAGCCAATCTAATTCCATCCTTAAATTTGTAAAAGGCTCTACAAATTTAACATCTGCACGTTTGAGCATTGTTCACTCCATAACTCAACATGGAATAAACATTTTTCTTATTTAAACTATAAATATTGCAAAATTATTATTTTTTCTCGAAGTTGACACCCCACCCAGATTATGCTTAGGTTTTTGGCAAATTTTGACACACCAAGCTCAAAAGGTTGCCCATCACTGATAGAGCTTCGGAAAGCTTCTGTTCTACCATCTCAAAGTTCCCTGCTTGAGCAGTAATGGCACAATCATCAGCATAGATGAAACTCTGGCCCGTGCAACCCCTTTACAATACACTCAGCCATTATGACACCCCCTTAGGTATTGCATCACGACATTCACAGTCATTACCCAGGTGCTATCAATATTCCACAAGTTCATCAAACAGTATTTTTTTCTATGACTAGAAATGCTGTGTTGTAAGGGAGAGCCCAACGGGAGTCTTTGTCCAGGAGACAAAGCAGGTAGTAGGGGATGACAGTTTTTCCATCGACAATGTCTTTGATCCAACCAAGCTTCTCCTTGTTGCATCTGTAGGTCGTGAGGTCCACCAAAGCCATTTGCCGCCGAGGCATCCTGGCTCAGCGGTGGGAGGCCGGGCAAATCCGCAACACCTGCAGCGACGACGATGAGGAGAGTGACAGCAGGGACTGAACCAGGCATCCCTTTCACCGGGATGGGACTACATTACACACTGATGCAATCAATACCACTTCTCTTCTGCTATTGTATTTTTTTAATTCCCACCTCCACCTGTATTTTTATCCCATTACTGTAGTGTTTTGGGCCACTAGAACCTGGGCTCTGTCAGGTGAGAAGGATGAAATGATCTCTTTGCTTCAATTCCTCCTTGTTTCAATATAAAGGGTGCATCTCCATTGTGGCATTCATGCTTTTCATACCCCTTTATTTCTCCTCCCACATGCTAAGGAGATCCTAGGAGTTGTAGTTTGACAAGGTCTTTAGACTTCTCTGGATGCATCTGCACTGTAGAATTCATGCCATTTGATACCCTTTGAATCACCATGGCTCAATGTTAGGAGATTATGGGAGTTGTAGTTTGACAAGGTCTTTAGACTCCTCCAGGTGCATCAGCACTATAGCATTCATGCCATTTGATACCCCTTTAATTATCATGGCTCATTGCTAGGGGATCCTGGGAATTGTCATTTGCTTAGCCTTGGAAAACAAATTATTGTAAAACTACAACTCCCAGGATTCCATAGCACCAAGAGAGAGAAATACATGGGATTGGATATTTGGAAAGGCATCAGGATTTAGAAACGTGGGGTGCATCTATGCGCTCTGGTTTCCATAGCCAGGTGAGAGATGGAGAAACTTGAGAAATTATGAATTAATGCCATCAGTTTAGGGGTTGCCATTCCCTTCTGGTTATCTGTGTAAATAAAGTAAATAAACCATCGGTTGTTGATGGGAGGTGGAGATGGAAAGCACAAATATACTGGGAGTGCAGTGTTTTGTAAGCCAGACAAAAGGAAGACTTTGAAGAAAGGAGAAAGTGGCACGAAAGTTTGACTCTTCTTCTCCTTCACTCATTAAAATAGAGCAATTTAAATTTAGTGAGATCCAAGCCGCGTGTGCCGTCTCAATAAAGGAGGGATGGACGTGGCATCTTTCCCCCAGGGGATTGCTTCTTGCCCTCCTATAGGAAACTGGAACTCTCAAAAACCCAAAATGCTGTAAATAACTCAAAATAAGTTTTATTGATCACAAAGAGTTATTTCTTTAAAGCAATGAGCTGGAAACTTCAGAGGGGTGAAGGAAAATATACGTTACAGTCTCAATTAGTCCTGGGTCCAAGGTGTTTGAAGCTGAGAAGCCTCACCAAGTTTCCACTTTACTCAATGGCTGTGAATGCCGGAGCAAACCACAACCCCAGTTCAGATGGCCTATGTTTTGAAGACTCAGGATCTTCCTCTGGTGCCAAAAGAACCAGTTTGAAGGCGCTTGAGACTTCCAACGTCGTTCAGGTTGGTCTGAACATGAAGCACAAGTCTCAAGGGGAAAAAAACCTCAGAACTGGTGCTAAGAGGTAACTTAAATCAGGGTCCTTTAGAATCAAGTCTTTTACTCACGTCCATGTGGTATGAACTCTGATGGCAGAATGAAAAGAAAAAAGGAAGCTCTCCCCTCCTGCAGGAAGAGGTGGAGCCAAACAGTACTGATTGACAGCTACAAGCAATCAATCCATACAACTATACATAAGCAGGGTAAACAGGGGCAGGATTAAGCATGAAACAACAGTTTAAATCTTACAACGAACAGTTCTATACATAGGTGGCGCCACTCGCGCCGTCACACCGCAGATAGTGAAACGTGAAGTGCGGATACCAAGTCCCGTTCAGTAGGTGGCCGGTACTGGTAGCGGATCGCCTGTGGATCCATGTGCGTGGCGAGACGAAGAATCTACAAACCAGTATTTCCCAATCAATTAATCTCACAAGTTGAAGAAGAAGCCACCGACGTAATTTAATCAAGTCAGCTAAAGTGATGCCACTTCGTGGTAATCCGTCAAAGAAAACTGGGATGCCATACAGTATAAAACATACATTTTTATAGACAGTAACCCTTTGAAATTCCCACTCCCGCCCCAGCTGAAGCCAGCTTTGCCATGATTGGCTAAGCTCCGTTGACGTCATGAACAGCCAAGGGAGGATTCCCCGCAGAGGCGGGACTGTGGCGTCCTGTTGGGCGAGTGGACTTATTAACCAAAAAGCCTCTCTTCATAAATATACAGCAGAGTAACCTATGAGCAGCAGCATGACCCAGCATCAGTAGCCCAAGTTGATAAAAAGAACAAAAAAACACAGACCAATGTCATCTCTTCCTTAGAAGGCTTTTCTTTGTAGTAAAATACTATAGTTGCACTATAAACGAAATGCAAAGATACAGAATGGGGGACAATGCCTGGCTTGAGAGCAGTACGTGTGAAAAAGATCTTGGAGTCCTCATGGACAACAAGTTAAGCATGAGCCAACAATGTGATGTGGCGGCAAAAAAAGCCAATGGGATTTTGGCCTGCATCAATAGGAGCATAGTGTCTAGATCTAGGGAAGTCATGCTCCCCATGCTCTATTCTGCTCTGGTTAGACCACACCTGGAATATTGTGTCCAATTCTGGGCACCACAATTCAAGAGAGATATTGACAAGCTGGAATGTGTCCAGAGGAGGGCGACTAAAATGATCAAGGGTCTGGAGAACAAGCCCTACAAGGAGCGGCTTAAGGAGCTGGGCATGTTAGCCTGAAGAAGAGAAGGCTGAGAGGAGATATGATAGCCATGTATAAATATGAGAGGAAGCCACAGGGAGGAGGGAGCAAACTTGTTTTCTGCTTCCCTGGAGATTAGGACGCAATGGAACAATGGCTTCAAACTACAAGAGAGGAGATTCCATCTGAACAACTTCCTGACTGTGAGAGCCGTTCAGCAGTGGAACTCTCTGCCCCGGAGTGTGGTGGAGGCTCCTTCTTTGGAAGCTTTTAAACAGAGACTGGATGGCCAGAGGTCTCTTCCAACTCTTTGATTCTATGATTCTATGAAGCATAATGCTTTCATGGGTGTCTATTAAACAACAAGCTGATTACTTTAAGGGCAGTTCAGGCAACGCTGCGTTTGAGTGAGAAGCTAAGCCTGAGTTCTCTGGTTCATGATTCAAGTCAAGCCTTGGTTCTGGATTTTAATTTCCTAGAAGTTTTCTATGTTCTTGTTCATGTACTTCTGTACAAATTTTTACTACTTATACTGGAGCTTTCTCACGTGAGGCTTCTCTCACAGAGGTTAACCTCACTCTCCTCAGGATGATACTAACTTTGGCCCACTAACTCTAACAGGTTTCGGCCTACTAACTCTTTCAGTTCTTGACTCACGTTTTTGTTTCAGCAATTCTATCATTGCTGGGGTTCAGAATGGTCTTTGTAGGTGAACTATAAATCCCAGCAACCACAATTCCCAAATGTCAAGGTCTATTTTCCCCCAAACTCCACCAGTTTGCACATATTGAGTATCTGTGCCACATTTGGCCAGATCCTTCATTGTTTAAATCCACAGTGCTGTCTGGATGACTTCTCTCACACAGAGGTTAACCTCACTCTCCTCAGGACGATACTAACTTTGGCCCACTGACTCTAACAGGTTTCGGCCTACTAACTCTTTCAGTTCTTGACTCACGTTTTTGTTTCAGCAATTCTATCATTGCTGGGGTTCAGAATGGTCTTTGTAGGTGAACTATAAATCCCAGCAACCACAACTCCCAAATGTCAAGGTCTATTTTCCCCCAAACTCCACCAGTTTGCACATATTGAGTATCTGTGCCACATTTGGCCAGATCCTTCATTGTTTAAATCCACAGTGCTGTCTGGATGACTTCTCTCACACAGAGGTTAACCTCACTCTCCTCAGGACGATACTAACTTTGGCCCACTGACTCTAACAGGTTTCGGCCTACTAACTCTTTCAGTTCTTGACTCACGTTTTTGTTTCAGCAATTCTATCATTGCTGGGGTTCAGAATGGTCTTTGTAGGTGAACTATAAATCCCAGCAACCACAACTCCCAAATGTCAAGGTCTATTTTCCCCCAAACTCCACCAGTTTCCACATATTGAGTATCTGTGCTACGTTTGGCCAGATCCTTCATTGTTTAAGTCCACAGTGCTGTCTGGATGACTTCTCTCACACAGAGGTTAACTTCACTCTTCTCAGGGCGATGCTAACTTTGGCCCACTGACTCTAACAGGTTTCGGCCTACTAACTCTTTCAGTTCTTGACTCACGTTTTTGTAATTAAAAATATCTAGTTAATTTTTAATATTTTTGACAGTGATGACTCTTTGGAGTGCCTTCCTATCTGCCACTGTGCAGCTACCAAACAGTCACACTGGAGCTTCACACATTTTATTTATTTATTTATTTTATTTGCTTTATTTCTATACCGCATTTTTCAGCCCAGTCAGGCGACTCAATGCGGTTTACACAATACAGGTTATTATAACAATGTCATAGGCAATTAAAACACATCATATACAACAGACAAAATCAACAACAATTATCAACTCATATCATAACGCCTCAATGAAATCAGATCCGTTCTCATAATCCTTGTGCCATTCCTATGTTCAATTTACCGTCTTCTGTGTTCAGTTGTACTGTTTAGCCAAACGCTTGTTCATAAAGCCAGGTCTTAACCTTTCTCCGAAATGCCAACAACGAAGGGGCCTGTCTGATGTCTACAGGTAAGGCATTCCATAGCCGAGGGGCCACCACCGAGAAGGCCCTGTCCCTCGTCCCCGCCAGACGCGCCTGTGACGCAGGCGGGACCGAGAGCAGGGCCTCCCCAGACGATCTTAATGTCCTAGTCGGTTCATAGGAGGAGATGCGTTCGGAGAGGTAAGTGGGGCCTTGAGGCCTTCTTGGCCTTCTAATACGGAGGCTTACCTCACACACTGTGAGGCCTTCTCTCACAGACTAAGGTCTATCTCACACTGTGAGACCTCCTCACAGATTGAGACGCTTCTCCCACTGAGGCATTCTTTATTTATTTACCACATTTATATATACCGCCTTTCTCAGCCCGAAGGCAACTCAGGCAACAATTCGATGCCTCCACAACTATAAAATGCAAATTAAAAACAGATTATAAATACAATTAAAATATTAACATATCATATAAAAACCAAACAGAGCCATAAAAACATAATCTGCAACGTCTCCTTACTAAAATCTTGATCCAAATGCATCGTCAAATGGTTTTGAATTTCATCTTAGCCTAATTAAGTTGCATTATCTCAGACAGGCTTCTCTCAGACTGAGGCATTACTAAGCAACAGATGCACCTGCTTATATAAAACTGCAGCTTTTGCTGAGTCACTG